GACTGCTGGGTAGAGGGAGCTGAGCGCAGAGCCACCCTCAGCCTGAAGGGCTTAACTGTAGAAGTAGCAGATGCTTTAGATGTAGTTTCCTCCTCCTTGGGGAAAATGTCAGGCTGAGCTTCATCTTCATCTCCAAAACTGCAATTCTGTTGAATATCAACACAGAATAACAGATCTTTTTGCCAAATCCCTTTACAGAAGTAGTCTGTCTGAATGAATGCAGAGTAAAATTACTGGATTTGGCAACACTTTATGATGAAACAACCAAAATACATGCCAATTATAATTATTGGGGCGATAGTGGCTCAAGAGTTGGGCGTTCGTCTTGTAATCGGAAGGTTGCCGGTTCGAGCCCCGGCTTGGACAGTCTCGGTCGTTGTGTCCTTGGGCGAGACACTTCACCCGTTGCCTACTGGTGGTGGTCAGAGGGCCCGTTGGCGCCAGTGTAGCTGTCATCACCAGTGTGTGAATGGGTGGATGATTGCGTATATAATGTAAAGCGCTATACAAATACAGACCAGACCATTGCCAGAGAAAACCCACACATGATTACATCTTTAAGAATCATTATAAAAGAAAAAGAATACAGATTTATTAGATCATAAAAAGGAGGTTAGTATCAATTGATGCTCAGAAGAAGTGGTAAAAATCGTCTTCAAATAAAACACATTAGCTTGTAGAGTTTGTGCTTTTTTCTTTCTTTTTAAATGTAGTATATAAACTATTTACGCCACCGCTCAGCCTAATGTGTCCCACATAAACAACCACTCCAAGTTAGTACTTGCCTTTCTGGTCACCCCAGTATGGATATATGAACCTTAAAGGTCTAAAACCAAACAAAATCCTACCTCATCTTTCAGTTCAGTGTCGGAAAAGCCGTAAAATGTCACATCATTTTCAGAGTCCTCCAAAAAAACATTAGCTAGCTCCGTTGTTAGCGAATTCATCCTTAAAACCGTGCCCTAAAGAGAGAAAAATCACAAAAATTAGCCTCAAAACCTGTGTAGGATACGTTTATCTGAACAAACGGGTAACCAAATGCTACTTTATTGGCCTCTTTGTCGCCTCTTGTGTGTGTGCCTAACCTGGACTGTGGCTACTAGCACCCTGCTAGCCTGTGAGTTTTAGCTAGGCTCCCGCCCGCACACCTGCTAACACACCTTCAATTACTCGTTTTAATTGCCCGCTGAGTTCAAAGCTGCCCGAAAATAAAATAATTATTGTGATTTTGAGGGTTAAATTAGCACGAATTTGCTGACGTTATTATATGACCTTTTTCTTTCTAAAATTAAGCTTTTTTCTTTATTATATGTTAACAAAAACATGACGTTTGAGCCAGGAAAACTACAGTTTGA